CTTCACTGGTAGCCTTATGTTCTTACTCTTATCTAGATTTTATGTGACACTGTCCCAACTTTATTTCAAGGCAGTCTCAAAGCTTTTATTTACTTATTTGTTAAGACCCTTGATCAGTCAGGGTTCACACTTAATCTCTTACGTAGCAACTTTGCTGCTTGAATGGCCTTCTCATGGTGTTACTCTAACTATATTGATGATGACCTTTGGGATAGACTTGCTTATGTTGTATTTCCCTAGACTAGGAGAACATTGTTCTGGGCCAGATTGTTCCTCTATATAATAAACCTGACAGAACCACTTATACATATCCAGACTGCATTAGGAACACTCAGTTCTGCTGGCTTCGTTTCTTTTAAAGACTTTGTAGAACTTCATTCACCTATTTTGTTCACATCTTGTCCTTACTTAGCATGTTGCATATTTCCAATATTGAAGCATTCAAGCCATCTAGCTTCAACCAGGTTCCTAAATGGGGCTGGATGTGTCTGGGAAGAATTATAGAAGTAAGCAGATTGGTGCCTCACAATTTTATAGTATCCAACTTGTTTTTTGCCAAACTATAATGTATCTCAGTCAGTTCCCTTTCCTTCCTTTCAGTGCCGGTTCCAAAATCCTGTCATTTTCCTCAAGACTTCAGTCCCCCAGAGGGAAATAAATAAAAAATAAATGAAGTTTCCCAAGCACTAACACCCATAACTTCTAACCTCTCCATGAAATGTTGTGTGTATCTATACCTGTCCCTTTCTCTCCTACCTCCTGGTCTCTTAATTCTTTCCTACCTCTTCCAGTCCATTTATCTTCACTAAACCTCCCATCCCTTCTTGTGTCCTTGGCCTTGCTTTAACAGTTATCTTCCTGCATCTTCAGCATCTTTGTTGGTTCCATTCCCTTAGTACACCCGTACATGCATTCATGTGAAGTCTTTGTGCACTTCATGGGGTCATCATCATCTTGAACTCGTTCCTTTAACTTGCTTCTTATTCCAGTATGTTAAAAAAATCTGGTAATAATCGTCTCATCTCTGTTTTCTCCTAGCACTCTATTTTCATCCCTTCTCACTGGCCCAGCTCATAACTACAGGTGTTTTCACTCAGCACCAGTATACTGATGGCTTCCCATTTTTGTTTCCAGAGCCCTCTCCTTGTTTTAAACTTTTATACCCAACTTCCTCTCAGACACCCTCTATGAGGCATTTTGCAGTTGTTCAACTTAGCATGCCCCAGTAAGTTCATCTGACATCTCCATGTGATCCTTGTTTCATGCATACATGGTATCTTAGATATTCATTTATTTAGGAAATATTTATTGACTGATTGACTGCATACTATGTATCAGGCATTTATGTAGGCACTGGGAACAAAACATCAATTTTCTGCCTTAAGAGAGCTAATCTTCTAGTAGATAATAATCAACATGTTTTGTGCTCATAATATTGGTAAATGATGTATCTTTATTAACTCTGATTTTCATAATAACCTATGAAGCAAATTTTATTACTCTCATTGTGCAGATGAAGTAACTTCCCCAAGGTTATGTGATAGTGGAGCAAGAATTCAAACCTAGGAAGTTTGGCTTGGGGCCAGTACTCTTACTTTATGTCAGGATTTCGCGACCTTGGCACTGTTATCTCTGGGCTGGACAGTTCTTTGGGGGACAGTCCTGTGCTTTGTAGGGTGTGTACCAACAGTGTTGGCATCTGCCCACTGAATTCAAGCATCAGCACCTCCCCTCCAGGGTGACCACCAAAAATATACCCAGGTGTTGCCAGATGTCCTTTGGGGGCAACATTGTCTTATATGTTATTAGAACCCAGTGCTTCTGTTATAATACTGGTTAATTAATATTTTGAATCATCTCTATGCTTGATGATGAGCTCCTCAAGGACCAAAGATCAAATCTTTCTATTCTTAGCACTTAACTGCACACGTATATGCCTCTTTTCCCTTGAGGAGTTAACTTAAATTTAAAAGTGTTTACTGAGCCACCTACATTGTGCAGGCTTGTTGCTAGTTGAGATAGGACAACAAAGGCAGACCACAGCATAAGTTATTTTAAGGGCCAGGACGTTTTTTTTCACCGTTGCATTTTCCAGTGCCTTTTTAGGTCGTTTACCATGCCATTACTATTTGTAAGACTTGCCAAATGAATGAATAAATGCATTAGTCCATCTCAGTAATCCTCCTAAGGAATTGCATGAAAGTACTTTAACCAGCTTCATGTCACTGAGCTGCAAAGTTAATTTCTCTGGTGCAGGTTTGTTATTGTCTCATTTTTAGTGGACACTGGGGGCTAAATATTAATTGAAAGGAAGTGTTTTATTTACTTTATCAGATATCTTTGTATTTCACCTATAATTTATGGCAGTTTTCTTTTGTCAGTAACTCTTGAACGACAGGAGATTCACCTCTTTGCTTTGGGTTGCTAACCTGTTTGAGTAAGAGACGTTCTGGACTACAGGAAAATAGACTTAATTGGGAGTCAAAATTGTACCCTAAGTAGATCTCTAAGTCCAGTCTTCTTTTTGAGATCATTAGTGTTATCACCATTAATGATCTAACCTCTTAAATATGTGTTTGGCCTTAAATATATTATAGTCACTGTGCTTCCTAATCTCTCACTCTTAGTTTTGTCTTTGAGATATTTGAAGACAACGAAGGCAAGTTCTTTCTGAGCAGATAAGCGTCGTCTCCCTCACTTCCGTCATGACCGCAGCAGTCCACAGCGCTCTTGCTGTGTTTACAAATCTCCTCGGTCTTAGGGTTGCACAGAATCCTTCAATAATTGGATCTGTAAAATTAAAGCGTCAGAGTTGGAAGCAACCATGAAGGTCCTTTAGTCCACCCGCTGACTGGATTTAACCCCAGAGGTTTTCAATCTTTTTTTCTGAAGTAATTTCACCCTAAATGACATACAGTTATACAACATGTTAATATGGGGGCTGAGATAAAGTCCTGAAAATGCTGCAGGAAATAAAGTTACTGTTGAATTATTGCTACATATATTACTGCATATAGAAAATAGTTACAGGCTGTTGGTGATGGACATCTCCTTATATGCTAGTTGTAACGTTGTTGAAGTTACTAAAAAATTTTAGTTTGCAAGTGAATGGAAATGATATATATTGAGTTACAGAATTATAACTGACTTTGAATCCACTATAATTTGTTTTAAAAGTAAACGTATTTTCCTTGTTTTTTGTTACAAATTGGTTGTAATATTTAATCTCTCAACTGACGTTAACAAGGTGGTATGAATGCCAGGAGGTAATTAGATTTGAGAAAAAAATTGTAATTTGTTTAATCCAAGTCCACAGACTCCTGAATCTAGTTCTCAGGTTACCTTTATTTGGGTTCATGAAATTAGCCCAAATTGGCCAGACCTAGAAGCTTGGAGAAAACCAGTGTACAGATTTAGAATAGAGATACTCTATACCCGAATTTAGATCACAGACCTTCCCCAGGAGAAAATCAGCAGAGACAGAGGATGTGTATGGGAAGGCAGCCCAGGAGAATTACAGGGAGGCTTGCTGCCTGCCATCAGACCTCTCAACCAGAGCCCAAAGTACCTCCACTCGGATTCTTTTATGTGACCCCATCAATTCCCTTCATTGTTTTAGCCAGTTTTGGTTGGATTTTTCCATTATTTGTAACGAGAAGATTCCTGATTGGTACCTTGGCCCAGAAGAGATGAGGTAGGTCCTATGAGCCAAATAGGAGCAGGTTAACTCTGGTATTGTTTAGTCTAGAGATCAGACTGGAGCGGTGGTGCTCCAGAATCCTGAGGGCTCTGCGGGGAGGCCTCAGGAGGCACACTGAGGGTGGGAAGGGGAGGACTTTGGGAGCTCCACTCCTCCTATGTGTATTGTTTAAGTAAAAAATTTTATATATGTTTTTACCTGTTTTCCACATAATGCATAGTTTGAGGAAAGGATGCTGTCTTTTAGATGAGTTTACAACACTGTGCTAGGTCTTCTGGGAGCACTTTTGCATGTCTTCTGGCATGGAAGAGCATACCTTCAAAATAACTATGGGCATGGGGCAGAGAGCATGCTCAGAACTCATGTATTTCATACCTAGCATATTATCATCTTCTCTAACAATAGCCATGCAGCTTCAGTTAATGCTCCACTTAATAGGCAAGAAACATTAAATGACTTTCCTAAGGTCACATTGCTCAGGATTAGACAGGCTTACGATTCACACTCAGGCCCATCTGACTCCACGCTGTTTTCCCACTGCTGAGCACTTACTCACTAGTTCAGATATATTGTATATAATATGTTATTTATCTTACTGCCCTTACAAACATGGTCTAATTTAGTGGCCTGTGATTTTTTTTTTTTAATTAAGTCTCTAGAATTTTCTGAAAGGTCTAAATTATTACTGATCATGGAGATTTGAGAAATCAGAAATCAGTTTATTATGTCACCTTTAATTCTACACATATTAGAATGTTATTTCTTACATTCTGTTGTGTCTGAGTTTAGAGACCAGAGGAAGGGAAGAGACGTTGGAGGTTAGTGAGGCAGCCAGATGGGCTCTGGCTTGGTGGTTCTGTCTTCAGAAGATAAGATTTTTAAGATAGTCAGTCTGCATTATGTAGGAATGATTTGTGGTATTAGGGGTTCCTGGAATTCAGGAAAATTTTGCTTTATTGCATAGAATAGAAGGACTCATTTGATATTTTAAAAAATTTTAATGCAATTAAAAACAAATCATTTGCTATGGCCCAGGAGGAGATGATCTACTGCCATATTTAAACATCATGGTAAATATGAGCCTCCTAAAGAATTTAGGCTTTCAGGAAAATCTCAGTGAAGACTGCTGCCTGAAATTATATGATATATATGTTAAGAATGTGGCACTATCACATTCTTGTTTACAGAGATTTGAATTTACCAAACATTTCTTAATTCTTTATTTACTTATTTATGCAAACCTATTTTTTACACAGTAATATCTGATCATTTGATTGTTCTTTGCATTTTTCGTTTCAAGATGACTCGAGGAGATCTGCATCTAGTGCTGTAACAGAAACGGGCCCTCCTGCAATGCCAAGGTTACCTTCCTGCTGTCCCCAGCACTCGCCCTGTGGAGGGTCGGCACAGAACCACCATGCATTAGGACACCCGCACACAAGCTGCTTTCCGCAGCATGGCCACCATTTTCAACATCATCACCACCACCATCACACTCCCCTCCCAGCTGTTCCTGCCTCTCCCTCCTTTACTGATCCTCCTTGCCCTGTGGAAAGGCCTCCGCAGATACAGCCACCCTGTGCAGCAAACAGTGGTTCTGGTACCAGCTACCACGACCAGGTATATCGAATTCCATAAGGTTTTCTTAATTTTTTAAAATTGTGGTACCTTTAGGAGGAAAGAAAAACCAATCCAGTGATAAATTGTGCATAATAAATAAGTTATTTTTCTTATTGTTCTCGCAAAAAAGGCCTAATTTAGTGCCCTGTGGTTTTTTTTTTTTTTTTTAATAAGTCTCTAGGATATTCTGAAAGTTCTAAATTATTACTGATTGAGGGGGCCAGGGATTTGGGGAATCAGAAATTATCACTATTTTTAATATTAGAATTTTAATACTGGCTTTTTTGTTTTTAGTTAAATACAGGTGAATTGATCCCTGAGATATTATTTCAAATAAAGTATTGAAATTTCAGTGTTAACCTGATTAATAAGAAATTGGGAAAGTTCCCTGTTTTCTTCCCCCTCTTCCACCTGTTCTGGAGCTCCCTGTAATCTACACTCACCTAGAAATAAGTAGCCTTCTCAGATGCAAACCTGTGACATAGTTTCTTGGGAGCAGATAAGGTTTTTAGTTTACAGGGAATTGAAATGCCAGCAAAAAATTATAATTAATCAGTGCATATTATTAGTGAGTGCTGGAAAGGTCAGATAATATTGAATTAGTATGGGGTCAATGAAGTCATATATGCTATTTCAACTGTTGCTGTGTTATGTCTGGGTATAATTGTGATAAAACCTGGATGGTGTATACTTTAAAAAATGAAACGTAATTTCAAGGTAAAGTTGTAATTGACATACGTGCTAGAAGAAAGTCAAAATGAAACTTCAGAGCAGCTGCTTTTTTCTTACCTCATGACCTTGCCTAATGTACTTTCTTCATCTCTTAAATTTTGCTGGTTCTGTCTTCTGGATTTAACAAATTAAAAATAACAATGAATGGTGTTCCCTTAAAAAAAACTAGTTGCTTTATAAGAAATTTAGAAGAGTTTTGTAGGAAATATGATTTAAAGAGATTTTTAGTTGATGCTTTGATTCTGGTAACAGTTCTAAGTATTAGCATCCACTGATCCTCTAGACCTGTTCTACCTCTTAGGAATGAGGAATCAGCAAGACAAATTGTTCAGTCTGAATTAAAGGACTTGCTTAAAAGCAAAAGTTTTTTACTGGAAATTTAGTCCTAAAGGAGGGTTTATAAGTAGAGTGGGAAAATGGTAAAGAATTGGACCTACCAACTCTCGCACATTCATTTAAGAGCTGCCAAAAGGTGCTCCTTTTGTTCACAGAATATCGTTGTTGCTGAAATTACGAAATACACAGCTAGTTTGAGAGATCATTTGTGTATGCAGCATTTTTCTATCTGAGTTTATTGCAGGTAGAATATCTTTGATGGTTCTTATTATGAAATTAATGTAACCTATTCACCTGACATTAAGTAGAGATATGCATTTGGATCGCACACTAAACTTGAGGAGAGTCATCAGTATCGATAATGGGTATAAAGGTGAACAGAGAGTGATGTTTTGAAGGTAAGAACAGTTTGAGACCCATACGTTTGGCAGACTCTGAAATTAGCCACATGCTCATGAGATAATTTCAGACAGTCTCCAGGGGAGACCTCTGCGAGCCCAGGAGGAGGCTGAGGAGTGGGGGAAGGAAACTGTTCTGAGGATCTGTGATCATGTAGGTATTTTACGATTAAGTGCCAGATTGTAGATAGGCAGAGAAAGATTGGGGAGGATTAGGCTTCAGAACAGAGAAATCACACCGGTCACCTGACTCTCAATAGCCCTTCCTTCTCCTTCGGAGGTAGTTTTCTCTTTTGAGCAAATAGTTCAGTTAGGGTCGTGCATTGCTTATCGTCTATGTAAAGTAGTATTTGTCATTCCTGCACCTACTTCGCTTATCCTCTTTTCCTTCTAGAATACGAATTGAATGAATTGTAGGAATTGAAAAGAAGAGGGTTCTCTTTGTGGTTTTTTCCCCTTTAATTTTTATTATTTGCTTTTTCTTTTATCCTCCCTTCGTCCAGGACCCTCACCTGACTGTCCTCCCGCTCTGGCGGTGCTCTCACTCCCTGCAGAAGCGATAGGAAATTTGCTCACCGTCACAGTCTGTTGATGCTCTAATTCATTTCCCGAATTTTAGCCTCAGTAGGAAAATAGGGAAAGAATTATGAACCATACACGTAAATTCACAACCTCACAATCTTATTTTTAAACCATATTCCCTGAATTAAGGTCATATATTGTATTTGCCAACTCAAAAGAAAAAGGCCCCATGTTTACTTAATTGATTATGGACGATTCTTCCATACTATATTAGAAAAAAGGAGCTCTTTCTTTTCACCCCCACAGCTTCTCCTGTACCGTCATCCCCCTTCCCTTTGCACCCAGAGCTCCTCTTGTGTCTGTGTCCTCTGAGGAGTATGGGGCCCATTAGAAATACAAAGGCCCCTGGGGCTCCTCTGAGGACCGCTAGGTGGCCTGGGCCTCTGGGAAATGCATCCGTCTAGCTGTCTCTGTCTCCAGCCCCTCAGCTTCCAGTATTGAACAATTCCTAAATATAATTTCATATAGAACATCAAATCTTTATTTTCTTTAATCACATTTTACAAATCAGCCATACTAGGCGCTGAACAAAAGGCTTGTATTTAAATTACTTAAGAATACAAAGAAGCAATTCTGTTTCTCTAATCTGTTACAGAGTAGAAGATACAAAGTGTATTTTTTAAGAGTTTTCAAGATGTTTTTGGGGAAAAAGTTGACTGATGAGTAGATAGAATCTAGGCTCTGGTTTATTTTCTAACTTAGTAAATGGGTCTTCCCTGAGATCATATTCCCAACGAAAGGAATCAATGGTTCAATTTTTTTTTTAAGCGTAAAAGGTGATAAGACAAAACTAATTTGTGTTTACTCTCTAATAATCTTATGTCCTTTCTTGTCTTTGAACTATTAGAGTTTCAGTTAAATGATTGTTATGTACAGTTTGGAAACAGGACATACAAGTTTTTACCTAGAACCTTAATTTTTCAGTGATGTTGTTATATTTTCCCAAAGAAGTCCTAGATTACTACTCAGAATTTTCAGGTAAAGGAGAGTATGGAAGTGTGATTTTAAAGTTTCTTTCTAAAATGTAGGTAACGGAAGACAAATAGACCTTAAAATAATATATTAATTAACTTTTGTTTTAGTAACATGCGATTATGCTTGATTTTTAAAAGTTGATTATGGATTTTAAGTATATGGTCACTACAATTATTGCAATCCAAGATATGCATAGTATTTTCTGGTGCTTAGGTCTTCACATAGAAAATTTTGCCAATTTCAAAATCTTAAAGATTCTATTTTTCTAGATTACATTAGGAGTACTTTTATACTATAACATGGAACAATGTTTTGACCAAACTTTAGAAAGATAAAAACAGTTCCTCTTTATACAGCAGGCATTGCCAGTAGACCTGAGCAACAGTGGCATCAGAAGTCATGGAAGTGGTGGTTTCCATGGAGCATCTGCATTTGACCCCTGCTGCCCTGTTTCTTCTTCCCGAGCTGCAATTTTCAGCCGTCAGGCTGCTGCTGCCCCAAGTCAGCCATTCCCGATAGATGGTTATGGATCAAGCAGGGTTGTGCAGCCTCAGCCCCAGCCCCCACCACAAGCCTCACTCTCATCAGGTCAACATTATAGGCCACATCCTGGTAAGTATAAATTTAACAGGCAAAGAACTTAAAGGTGTATAAAATGAAGCATTGTACATCGCTTCATGAAATAGCCTTTCAGTAATCCTACTTCATAAATTTGTAATATTTTCTTGGCCTAAGACTGGGGTGTATTTTCCCATTTCATCATTCCTTCTCCTTGTGTCCCCAAAACACTCTTCTAAGATAAAAAGGGGGCAGAAGTTGTTTAAAAGGGTCAGGAAAATAAAAAATAAATAACATTTTGTTTATCTTACATTCTAATATTTACATTTTAATATCTATGAAGTTGAAGTACATTGAATGGCACCTCAGATTCTTATTAAAGGAAGTTCTAAGGAATATAGGTTTATCCTTTAGGAATAACAGGAAATTTGAGAGTTCAGCTGTTTCTAGGCACATGAAAGTAAATTTTGACTAAATTCTGAAGCTCAACTAAGGTGTAAGAGATTCCCTGACAGAAAGCTTTGCCAGTTGCAAAAAGGTTTCTATACTCATTTAATGCAAGCAGTTAAAATAGAGTCAGATGTGGCTTTTCAAAAGAAGTTGAAATCTATGAGAAATCTTAAGAAATGAGAAATACCTTTAGACCATGTAACATATTTACTACTTTGTGAAATCATAGGCTAAATAATCAAGTAGAACCTTAATACTTTGTTAAAAAAAACATTGAAAAATCAGGAGTAATCCAAGACGTTATCAAAGAAATTTGCTTTTTTTCTGATTCTGTACAAGGAATAATTTTCAGTTATCTGTCTCCTTAGATTTGTAATTTCACTCCTGTAATTTTTAGAATCTGGGTTCTGCAAAAACAGTTGGAATCAACCCAGAATTTGTCCAGTGAAACCTAGTGAAACATCATTAACCTTTCAATAATGCCACTTAAAATTTTAAATGTAAGTTAAAACATTAGAAAATGAAACAATTCATTTTGCAGATCGTTGATCAATGGGCAAATTCAGTGTATGAGCCCTTGTGTGATGTACAGGCTAGTGTGTAACACTCGTTGATATTCATCTGTATATGTGATTATTTTTAAGTAGGAACTCAACATGTATGGTTTTTCTGCCCCTCCCTTTTAAAAATATTGTACTGAAGCAGTTTATAAGTAAATCCATTCCTTTTTCAATGTCCAAATAAATAAATGTTTTAGATTTAACTTGTTTTACTGTTATCATAAAACTAATTTGTGTGCATCCTAAGAAGTTCAACTGCAGAATGATGTGAGGTGAGAGGTTAGAGCCCTTCTCCCCATGGTGCATGAATCTTAATGCCTCAGAGGGAGCCCCTGTTTATAGCTTATTATAAAGCCTTTCAGAAATTACTTTTGTACGTACATATGTATCGCCTTTTAAAAAAAAGGGACTGTACCAAACATATTATTTGCCTTCTTTTGATTTTTTGACTGTTTTTAGTCATACGTTTTTGATTTTTTTCTACGTTAGTACATAATAATCTAGATTATTGTTTTATTACCCTCAATATTCCATTGTATATTAAATCAGTCTTCTGTTGATGGACATTTAAATTGCTTGTAGTTTTTGAGTCTGTAAGATAAATTCCTAGGAGTGAAATTGCTAAGTCAAGTGGCATGTTGAACTTTAAGGAAGCAATATCAAAAACTTTTATTTTACTGGCAAAAATGCATAATATAGGGAAGGAATACGTCACCATTCTGCAGTGGTTAGCAATCTCTTTTGTTTAGATAAACAATGAATTACAATGATAGGTGAAGTTTTCACCTCGCACAAAAGAACGGTAACTATGGGAGGTAATGGGTGTGTTAATTAAACTGTGGTAGTCATTTCACAAAGTATATATATGTCAAACCATTTGTACACTTCAAATATTTACAATTGTATTTGTTCATTATTCCTCAATAAAGCTGAAAAAAACTGAAATGATTGTTGAAGAGTTAAATAATTGATTCATCCTGAAGCAAAACTTTAAAATTTTATGATACTTATGAATATTATTTCTTGCATTTTGATTATAGAAATAGAAAATTTTCAAGTGAAACTGGAAAAAATGCTGCGAATTTGAGGAAGGATAGTTAACTGTGGTAAAACAGAGACACTTCCTCTTTTGTGACCATTTTTATTACCAAGAAATACAGAGCTTTGTGACATCTTGGAGTAAAGCATTGATTTGAAAACATAACTTTTAGAAAATAAGTTTAAAACTTTTCTCACAAATTATTGAGCTTAGTGAAGGTTTCCTTTAAGATACTTGCTACCAAGGTTTCATTTGAAAATATGGCTGAATGTTTTCATGGTTACCCACCTTTTACCCCAGCTGAATGAATCAAAAGCATTTAAAACTGAAGGAAATCCTTCTATAATGAAACTAGAGAATGCCCATAACCTATACAAGACTACCAAGAAATTCTTCCAAATAAAATGAAATTCACACTGAAATCTATAAACATATTTTTTACCTCAAATAGATGCATATTCCTCAGAAGGATCTTTCAACAGTTACTTTGAAATGTAAAGATTTAGAATGATGGAAGGGACTAAAGATGGCGGCATGAGAGGTTAGACAGAGGCTTCTTCCTAAAACCACATAGAATATGAAAATATAATTAATACGACAAATCCTGAAAGAGCAACAGGAAAGAGGGCTGTGCCAAACTGCATACACCTGGAGAAAAGAATAAACCTCATGGAATGGTAATGTACCAAAGCTGTGGCCCAGCAGGACTCAAGCCCCTCCCCCACCCCAGCTCAACAGCAGGAGGAAGAGAAATGGAGTCAGGAGGGAGTGGAGGCCTGGGTCTGCTGAATACCTAACTCCGGAGATCTGCTCTGGGAGCACAAACCTACATTTCATGGTGCTTGCGTGGTACTTTCACGATTAGGGGGTTGGAAAGCTAAGACAGGCAGAATTCCTGGAGAGACTGAGGCTCCAGCTGCTTGTGGAAAGCAGGAATCTATATCCAGCTGCCCTGGGACAAAAGAAAGGTGGGCAGTCTGAGAGACTTCCTAACAGCAAGAAGGCTGCTAAAGGGGCAAGGATTGCACAGAGCTTACTGCTCAGGAGAAAGGACAGGTAGACAAAATTATCTGGGTGCACTCTGCCCAGCAGGTTGGGAACTTTCATGATCTTCAGGTGCTCCAGCTCCCTGGGTGGCTATACAGCTCCAAGGACCCCCTCCATGATAGGCAGCCTACTGTGCCTTTCTCCCAGCCAACCCCACCTGGCTCACAAATGGCAAACCCTACCCAGGTGTTAGGCCAGCCAGAGGGAATCCCTGTCTTCAGCAATTACAAACACAAAGCATAGAGGCTTATACCTGTGTGCTAGGCCCACTGGTTCTGGCAGTGGAGGCAGACATAGCAGCAGGGAAGCAGGAAACATCTCTTCCCTACCCCCAGGCACCAATACTGCTCCACTGTGACCCCCAACATTGCTTCAGGGGCTGAGCAGCTCCAGAGAGGTGAGCTTCTGGACACTAGAGGGTGCCATATACAAATATAAATGCCAAAGGAACCTGGTTCAAAGTAAAATTATGAATACAATAGCTGAAAAAGATTCAAATGAAATCGACCTCATGAGTCTTCCTGAAAGCGATTTCAAAATAAAAATCATTAACATGCTCAAAGAGGTACAGAAAAATATTCAGGAACTCGGGAATGAATTCCAGTTGAAGATCCAATTGTTAAAGAGCACAACAGAGGGTGGGTAGTAAAAGCAGATTAGACATGGTGGAGGAGACAATAAATGAAATAGAAACTACAGAACACAAACACAAAGAAGCTGAGGCACTGAGAGAAAAAAGAATCTCTAAGAATGAAAGAATACTGAGAGAACTGTGTGACCAATCCAAATGGAACAATATTCGCATTATAGGGGTACCAGAAGAAGAAGAAGAGGGAGAAAGGGATAGAAAGTGTCTTTGAGGAGGTAGTTGCTGAAAACTTCCACAGTCTGGGGAAGGAGATAGTCTCTCAGGCCATGGAGGTGCACAAATCTCCCAACACAAGGGACCTAAGGAAGACAACACCAAGACATATAGTAATTAATATGGGAAAGATCAAGGATAAGGACAGATTATTAAAAGCAGCCAGAGAGAGAAATAAAATCACATACAAAGGAAGCCCATCAGGCTATCATCAGACTTCTCAGCAGAAACCTTACAGGTCAGGAGGGAGTGGCATGATATATTTAATGCAATGAAGCAGAAGGGCCTCGAACCAAGAATACTTTATCCATCAAGATTATCACTTAAATTTGAAGGAGGGATTAAACAATTTTGAGATAAGCAAAAGCCAAGAGAATTTACCTCCCACAAACTGTTTCTATGGTGTATTTTGGAGGGACTGCTATAGATGGAAGTGTTCCTAAGTTTTAATAGCTGTCACCAGAGGTAATAAAATCATACAGTAAAGAAAGTAGAACAGTTAATTACTAAGCAAATGTAAAATTAAATCAACTATCCCCAAAGTCAATAAAGGGAAAGGCAAAGAGTACAGAATATTATACCTAATATATAAAGAATGGAAGAGGAAGAAAAAGGAGAAAAAAAGAACTTTTAGATTTTGTTTCTTATACCAAAATCAGGCAAAGACACCACAAAAAAAATTATAGACCAATATCCTTGATGAACACAGATGCAAAAATACTCAACAAAATATTAGCAAACTGAATTCAAAAATACATCAAAAAGATCATCCATCATGATCAAGTAGGACTTATTCCAGGGATGCAAGGATGGTTCAACATTTGAAAATCCATCAACATCATCCACCACAGCAACAAAAAGAAGGACAAAAACCACATGATCATTCAACAAAAAATTCAACAAAAAGCATTCAACAAAATTCAACATCCATTCATGATAAAACTCTCAACAAAATGGGTATACAGGGCAAGTACCTCAACATAATAAAGGCCATATATGACAAACCCACAGCCAACATTATACTTAACAGCTAGAAGCTGAAAGCCTTTTCATAAGGATCAGGAACAAGACAAGGATGCCTACTCTCCCCACTTCTATTCAACATAGTACTAGAGGTCCTAGCCACGGCAATCAGACAACACAAAGAAAATAAAAGGCATCCAGGTGGGCAAGGAAGAAGTCAAACTGTCACTGTTTGCAGATGACACGATATTGTACGTAACAAACCCTAAAGAATCCACTCCAAAACTGCTAGATCTAATAGCTGAATTCAGCAAAGTTGCGGGATACAAAATTAATATACAGAAATCTGTTGCATTCCTATACACTAATGATGAAGTGACAGAAAGAGAAATTGGGAAAACAGTTCCATTCACAGTTGCATNAGGTCTGGAGGGACGGAAATGGGGATTGAGGGGTATTATGTTTAGTACACATGATGTGGGGGGTCACGGGGAAAACAGTGTAGCACAGAGAAGGCAAATAGTGAATCTGTGGCATCTTACTACACTGATGGACAGTGACTGCATTGGGGTATGGGTGGGGACTTGATAATATGGGTAAATGTAGTAACCACATTGTTTTTTCACATGAAACCTTCATAACAGTGTATATCAATAATACCTTAATAAAACATTTAAAAAATAATTGAGAATGAAGAAATGGGGGAAGCCATGTTTGTTAAGGGCTGATTTCCTTGGCCGGCTCCTGGCAGATATGCTTCTGTCATCATGTTAATGAAGTGTGGGGGAAATGGCCTGGGGCGGAGGGGAGAGAGAAGCAAGAAAAGGACATATCCACAGTCTTGCCCAGAAGGACTACAAGTCCCTTTCTTCTCTATACTGCTCTATTAACCAGGAAATTATAAAGGAAAACAAGGTTTATATGTTTATAAATGTGTAATTAATGCAGTTGACTACACAAAAGGCAACAAACCTGTGTATGGCAAAATAAAATTAACAAAAGACAGTTTGGAAAAATGTTTACAGCTTATTATGACAAAAGCTTCCCATTGTATATAAATCAGCAAGATTTATATACTTGTAAATCAGCAAGAAAAAGGTGAACAAATAGGCTAAGAAGATGAATAGATAATTCTGGGAAAAAATGTAAGTGGCTAATAAATACAAGATTTTTCTCAGATTGGCATGTGAGGACTGAGTGATAGTAGGGGGTCTTCAGGGACCCCTGTGTAGTGGTGATAGGTGTATTGATTACGGTAACCTTTTGGGCAGGGTCTTTTGTCAACTGGTATCTGAGTTTAAATTATATTTTGAGACTCAGAACTACTTATAGGAAATTTATTCTACAAAAACTGTCCATGAATGATGTGTGCATGTGTGCATTCATGTATGTACATGTACAAAAGAAGATCAGCACAAGAGGGATCATACAGATATTTATTCCAGCATTTGGGCTGTTTTCAATTTTTATCAGTGGCAATATCTTTGATAAATTTTGGTACCTTCCTATAGTAGAATGCTGCAAAGCTGAGAATGAAGTAAAACTGTATATTGACATGAGAAGATATCTAAGATTATTCAAAGAAGAAAATGGGTTGCAAAATAGAACTGAGCAGACTCAAGCATTGATAAAGTATTCATAAAAAATTAAAAATACACTAATATGTTTCTAAAATCAAGTAGGAATATATAATAGCAATGTATGCTCAACTGCATGGTGCCTATATTTTCCTTACAGATGCTTCCTTGACAAGACCACTTCATCATCAAGCCTCTGCCTGCCCACACTCTCATGGAAACCCCCCTGCTCAGACTCAGCCTCCACCTCAAGTGGATTATGTTATTCTTCCTGTACATGCTTTCCATTCTCAAATACCTTCTCATGCAACATCTCACCCCGTGGCAGCCCCGCCCCCAACTCATTTAGCCAGTACAGCCGCACCAATCCCTCAGCATCTTCCTCCCACACACCAGCCAATTGCACATCATATTCCAGCCACTGCACCTCCAGCACAGAGACTTCATCCTCACGAAGTGATGCAGAGGATGGAAGTTCAAAGAAGGAGGATGATGCAGCATCCAACGTATGTTTCATGTTTTTAAAAAGATAATCACACATTATTCCTTTTCCTTCTATTCCCATTGGTTTTTAAAACTATAAAATCATTAGAAGCAATGTAATTATACTAAACCACCAGTTCACCAGGTTATTCCTTACTAACCAAAATCTTCGTCTGTCTTACCCTGAGTTGTAGGTGTTGACAAAAATTTATGTCAGATTAGTTAATGAAACCAAACCATTTTCAGGATACAACAAAGGGTCTTTTTTTTTTAAAACCAGTCTCTGGTTTGTTTCTTTTTTCAGTTTCCATAGTAAATATTAATGTTAAAATTGACGAGGAACAAGATACAGTTCTCAAATATTTAGTTTGATTTATTATGTGTTACCAGTCAGAGGGAAAAAGAGTATTAGCATTTTTCAGCTGACAGTGAAATGTCTTTTTCCAATGTCTTTAATTTAGTTTGCTTATAAATTTAAATTTTATTGTATTACCTAAACATGGGAACACTGTAACTGAACATTTTGCTTTCTTCTGAAAATTAAGAATCTGATTTTCTACCTCAGTGCAGCAAATACTGTTGTTCATATTCTGCCTGCTTGTTTTTGTAAATACAATTTTACAGGAAAACAGCTACCCTTGTTCATTTATGTATTGTCTGTGGCTTCTTGACACACTTGACTAACATGAGTAGTTACAAAGACTTAGTAACTACTTAGTACTGCAAAGACTAAGTTGAGTATGGCCTATAGAGCCATCATACTTAAGTATTTGGCCCTTACAGAAATGCTTGCAAGTCACTTAAACTAATTAATGCTCTACCACTTGTGTGACTTCTTCCTTTAGTTGTAGAATTTATGATTATATCCAGACTCTCTGATGGCTGTTGCCATTGTAATATAGTAACCCTTTATATAGAAAGTTGCCAATGTAACATTAATATTTTCCAGTATCTAGAAGATTACTTGTTCTAAATTGTTAAGATTAAACATTAAGTAGTAACCACAATGTTGCTCATGCGAAACCTGAGCATAAGATTGTCTATTGAAGATACCTTAATAGAAATAAAAGAAAAGATTAAACATACAAAATCTGAAAACGTGTTAGAAGCTAATAGAAAATAAGAATGAGACTATAAAAATGAATCACTGGAACTTTTATTTAAAGTACTCTTTGTTTAGAACTCTGCTTATATTTGTAAATTTGACTGACTTTAGAAAGAGAAAATATATTAAGCTGGGAGACAGAATAAAGAGTGTGAATGGAGCTAATATCAGTTTCCAGATGTGGAACCTCTTCTTGCATGTGTTTGAAATAAATGCACAAGGTTAAAATTTTTTTCTCTTAAAAGATTTATCTTTTAAAATGGCTGAATATTACTACAATATAAAAGTAAAGCAAAATAAAATACTTCGATTTTCCTGCCTTATGTGTTTATAGAAATGTCTTGTTCCTATAGCATTTGCTGAGGTGTTTAATTTTTAAAATTTTATTTCCATTCAAATTCCTAATATTTAAAGTATCTACCATAAAGTAGGTATATCAGAAAACATTCAAATTGCCTTTTTCCTTGGATAAATTTGAATTGGAGGTATTGTAAGAAATGAGAAGTTTGTGCGGTTATAATTTCTTGATTTTATTAATCATTAAATCTATGTTACATTTTTATAATTTGTTATCAGAGAATGAATTTCATGACTGATCTATAGATGTTTGTAATATTAATACTAGGTTATATTTTCTATATTAAGAAATAACCAATTACTCTTATTTCCTGTGGTCTTTCTGTGTTCTGTGTTTCCAGGTGGGCACATGAGCAACCCCCACCTCACCCGCACAGGATGCACCCAAACTATGGCCGTGGCCATCATATTCATGGGCCTCAGACTATGTCCTCACATCCTCTACAGGCTCCAGAGAGATCTGCCTGGTCAGTATCTTGTCTGTTTCAGCGATATGCCCAGTAACTTGTGGTCAAACTGCCAGAGTCAATGCTTTATAGTGGAATGCCATCCAGGGCGGTGCTGTGGAGAAACTGAATTCAGCTTAGCTGTGAGGCACTGCCTCTGGGCAAGTTACAGAGACCTGGGGAGGAAATAGTAGGAACTTGAGTTCTGGGGCAAGGGGCCATGTCACACAGGAGTACGGTGTTCTGTTGTCCTTCAGGGGTGTCTACCATTAAAGCCAGCTCCCTAAATAGATCCTACTTTTCACAACTTCTTTATACACCCTCCCCGTTCTTAGTACTCAGATTGACTTCCTGCCTCTAACCCTGGCCACTGACAAGGGAAAACCAGCTTGGGCTTCCTAGTCTGACAGTCTTTACTAGAGAAATGGAAGCAGATGTGCATTAAGGTTCTACAAAATTCATTTTCATTAGGCAGTCATTGAGATCTTGGTCCACCGTAGCTTCTGAGGCAGAACATAAAATGAGAATAAATAAATGGAGATTTGACATTTACCAGGTTTACTCTATAAAATTTTGTTTACCCTTGCCTTGTAAGGCACAGATGTGTTTGTTGTTGTAATTATCTTTGAAGCCAGCAACCCAGAGACACTATTCAACAAAGAAAAGTCTTGGGAGCATCTGTAACATTCACATAAACAAACAAACAGAAAAACCTTCTAATTTGTGTTCTCCTCAAGTAGAATCAGACTTTTAGATGGGAAGGAACCTTTTCATTTTGTTTCCTTTGTAAGATGTGAATGAAACTCAGTACAGTTGCTTTGCTCCTTGTAATTACAAAATTGAATTTTCATGTTTTAATTTCTGAATTGAACTTGAGATTTTTTAGTTAAATCTTAGGGCCTAAATTATCTTTGTCTCAGCTGTGTAAATTAAGAAGCTTTAGATAACTTTAAAAAATGTAAACATGCTCCCCCATTTCTATTGATTATCATAAGACACTGCAGAGATGGTTAAAAGCTAAGCGTTCTCCTCCTTTGTCAGGGACCTGGGAATTGAAGCCGGAGTGACTGCAGCTGCTTATACACCTGGAGCTTTGCCTCCCCACTTGGCCCATTACCATGCACCACCTCGACTTCATCACTTACTATTACTAGCTCTTCCTTTAATGGTAAAATAAAAACTTTTCAAAATGCTGAAATATTATTCTTAAGAGTATTCTTTTTCTAAATTATTTTATTGAAAATATTCTCAATGTATTAGTTATAGGTGTTTTAATAGAATTTGAGAATTAGTAAATGGAAATTGTAGTATAAAAAAGGTATTAGATATATTAAAATCTGTATTTCTATTTGCATTATAAAATGTACTGTATTTTTCTCTCTTTATAAAAGTTTTTTCTTTTGTACCAAGACACCAGTCTTGACCAACTGTCAGTGGGACATGAGCTTGATTTTCTCACAAGTGGTAATGGGTCTGTTCCTATGCATTTCTACTTTACTGATGTGCCACAGGACTATACTCATTCTCTGTATCTGATATGAACAGATTCACATTTGGTAGATACCAATTTAAGGTGTAAATGTATTGAGTTTGTTATTCATAATACGTATTAGTTATAAAAGTAGTACAGAGAAGGGAGTGGCTTAGTCTTGTGGAGGTAGAGGTACTGTAGGAAAGGCTTCCAAGATGCTTTATTATGCATGTGACTTCTCAGCAGGCTTTGGAATTAGAATGATGCTCTTGCAGTGATTACAGCATGTTAAGAGCTCTCAGATAACATAAACACAAGAAACTGCAAATGGGTTGTTATTTCTGGATCTTAGGAATGGGGATCACTCAGCAATAAGAAATAAATCTGCCCTGCCAAGAAACTGGGACTCAGGAACCATTGAAAGCAAAATGACTTGGTCTTATTTATGCTTCTGGAGTGATTTAATGAGATTGTAGTTAGAAAGACCACCTCCTCACTTGTTTGGAAAAATAGATTTCAGGGTGAGAGGCTGGAAACTAGTTCAGACATAGGAGAAGTTGATGAACGCCCTCACAAGGACAATGGCAGTTGGTGTAATAATGATGAGACACATTTGAATGGTATTTAGGATGATTCCTAGATTTCTAGCTTGGTGCCTTTCACCGAGTTGTGGAGTATTAGATTATGTTTTAGGGAAGAGGTTAGGTGAGTTAGGTTTTAGACATGCTGAATCTGTGATAAGTGGGTATCAAGGTGAAATGTCCAGTAGGGATTTAAGTTTATAGTCTGCACCTCGAAACTATAAACTGATACCTGAGTTAAAGATATGTTGTGATTTCTCAATATATATGAACCACATACTGTCATAAAATACAAATCTATGGAAGAGGATTAGATTGCCAGAAAAAAATGTATAGACTGACAAATTAAAAAAACCCTGGAGAGTTATGTTAAAAATGTGGGAACAGTGAATATAAACTGCTTGCTTTATAGGCCTGGCTATGAAAGGAAAGCAGGAAATAGGGCTGCAGTCATTCCAGGATTAAGGAGATAACAGTTTTGGGTAAACTTGAAGCTATGTTTAGGCTTAAGACAGAACATTAGGAGAGGATGCAGAAGCGAGAGGTGGGTAGTTGTAGGTAATAAAGAATGTAAGGGTAACTGTCATACCACGTCAGTGGGCTGAGAAAAGAATTATAAACAACCATTTGCTTAACATATTGCAAACACTGTACTTATACTGCAGGTTATAAATATGGAGTTTTATTGCGTTTAGTCTTGACAGTGCTGTACAAGGAATAGTCATCCTGGCTTTTAATATTAGATATTCTTCACCTTCAGGAACTGATACATTTGGAAGAAAGATTAGGAAATGTCAATCGTGGAGCATCCCAGGAGACAATTGAAAGATGTACATATCCACATAAATACCAAAAGGTAAGAATTTAGTCTGTGTAATGTCTACATTATTGAAATGCATAATATTGAGTATTGTGGACCTTCTTTGAACTTATGGAGCCTAGCCAACTACATTATTACTAAAGTAACACATGCCTATGATTTTTAAATAAGTGTAAAAATATATATTCTGAAGTTTCTTACCCTGATGACCCAAGTTTTTCTCCCCAGAAGAAAAATCACAGTTAAGGATTTCTTAGGTAATCTACATATTTTTATGCATTAATAATTGTACATATGTACATATTTTCCCTTCCATTTTTCAAAATAACACAAAGAGGATGATAAGTGCACAATTTTTGCACAGTATGTTTTCATTCTGTATCAGCATCCACATGCCACCCATATTCTTTTTAATAACTTATACTGTAATTTAACTGGCCACTTATTTTGACATCTAGTTGACCTACATTTCTTACATTGTACCCTCAATTCATTATACAGTATTATTTATAGAAGTTGTGCAATAGACATGTTAAATAGATTTCTTTCAACAAACAACTATGCTATGCAGAGACTAACAATAATAATAAAGTTTGAAAAATCACTGTATTTTTCATCTGTTTTCTATGAGTATTAAAGACGTATTATCACTGAATTTAAGTACTTTCAGTAGTCTAAGCTAAAGACTATGTCATCAGATTAATTTATTTCGATGTTATTTGAAAATTCCTTAGTAAAAGCTGTGTTCATGATGGGACAAAAATAGAGTTTATATGTATATCATCCTAATTATGTCATAAAAACAGTTGATTTCCAAGTAGTAAATTGGTTACATTTAATTTTCCTTTTGATGCTGCTTATTTAAGTCTTAAAATAACTCTTATTTGAAATTAGTCGCTTAACTCATCCATTAACTCATCACAGTTATACCTGGGAGATAAGTTGTTGGTGAATGTGTAGTTTTGTTTTGTATTGTTTGTCAAATAAACACAGACTTTACTCAGTTGTTCAATAATGTCATCCCTACTAACAAGGTAACAACCGATTGGTTCTCACAGGGGGAACTGCACTGCCAACAAGATGGCGAAGAAGCGAGTAAGAAAGACCCAGAGGAGAAATGTACTATCTGTTTGTGTATTTTAGAGGAAGGTGAAGATGTGAGGTAACTAGACATTAATTATCTAAAATCCATTGCCAAAACTGTAAATGAGATTTTATGTGAAAGTAGACTAGAAGCCACATAAAGATCACTCCTGGCATATCCTGTTACCAATCTCTGATGTGTAGAGAATTGCCTTCCTATAGTGAGTGAAAGAAAAAGATTGAAGTCTCTGTATTGCTAACAGTGGGTTGGGATGGGAAATATACTTGGGCAGGGAAATTTTGTGATCAAATTGCCTTCTCTAAATCTTGCAGAAACGAGAACTTGACAGGCTTTGGTGGCTGGTACTGTTAAATTAATGTATTCTCCAAAGCTTAAAGAGGGGGATCCGGATTAACTCCATGCAGTATTTTATACCATCTTTTCATAAATTGATTTGTTCTAAAATTTCCTCTCACTTCTTGGGATTATTCAGTTCTTACAACTTTACAATTTAGAAAATGTTATGGTAACCCAATATTAATTTTAGGTATTTTCTTTTTATAATCTCTTAAGTGTTTTGCACATGTTCTGCTTTTATCTAAAGGAACATAATCCCATTTGAAACAGGTTCTAAAACATATGTAACAGAACCGTATGCTAATTTTGTTGCCCTAATTTATAAGGGTAACTTTATCATGTGTGTTCAGTTGGCTGAGAGAGAAATGAAATTATAAATGTTTGTCTGCCATATCACATATATGTTATTTGAAAACTGTGTTGCCAGTGAAGTTTATAAATATGGAAGCTAACTTTTCTTACAGTAGTGGCAATACTGTTCAAAGAGTAATTGGAGCATCACTTTTTAGCCATAACTAGGAAGTCTAAAAATGTGTGACAGCTCTTGGCAGTGGAATAGAAATGGATACTCCTATCCCACTCCTGACTTAGATTGACCCTGTATTGCCTGGATGCTTTCTTTATTTCTCAATTGCTAAGTGATGACTTAGTGTAGTATACCAAAGTAAACATCTCCTTTTAACCTGCTTTCTTTCCCATTGATTACTTTTTATTGAGATATAATTTGTACATATTAGTTTCAAGTGTACATGATTCAATATGGAAAATATATTACAAAATGGATTAAACCATAGTACTAAGTGGCTATAACAATTACCCATAAAAGCCTTATTATAAACCTTCAATCAATCTGTACTTTATAAAGATCCTCTAGATAGAAAATAATATTACACATAAGATTTCTTAATTAGTATGACTAGAACTCATGCTAGAATAATATGAGTTCTAATATTTTTGAGACAGAATTAGATATATATATTTTTTAAGTGTTTCACAAATGCATTTGATAGTACAAAAATATATCTTTGCAATTTTATGTAACAGGAACATAACTGCCAACTCAGCAGATTGGCAGCTCATGTATAGAAAAAAAACTGGAATAATTGCCAATGTAGCTTTTAAAATCCTTGAAGTTTTACATGATTTGGTTCCATAGCTGAAACAGTTAATCATCTTGGGTATTTATACCTTGATTTGCCCAGTGTTGATTTAATATAGGTGTAACTGTCATTAGAGAGGGAGGTTGTTTAATGTTTTTATAGAAAAAAGAGATGTCTGGTAACTTTGAAACACTCCTGAATTATTACAGTTATACCACGTGCAGTTGTTGTAAGATTAATATTTTGCTTTTTGTTGGATTTGCCTATAATAGACGTCTTCCTTGTATGCATCTTTTCCACCAAGTATGTGTTGATCAATGGCTGATTACTAATAAGAAGTGCCCCATATGCAGAGTGGACATTGAAGCCCAGCTGCCAAGTGAAAGTTGACACCGTGTTTCAGAACTGTTGCCCTCCCTCTCATTCCCACCCCCCAGGTACTGCAGTCAACCAAAATGGCATGACTTACCTGCGCAGATTTGAAGGCTTGAACTTAGAG